GGCGGGAAAGCGGGGGAAGAGGTGATCGCCACCAAAGAGGGTTATCTCTCAGCTAAAGGCGCCGTCGGATTCAAATTGGGATCAATTACTTCGATCAACAAAAGCGGATAAAACTTTGAATCAATAACTTTCTACTAATGGTTATAATAAATAATGGATAATAGACTATAATATAATAAATATAAATTGTATTTCTATAAATAAACTTTCATTTTAAACTTATATTGAATAACGATTTAATATTAAAATTATTATAAATATAAGTTATAAAAAACTAAAATACTATAAAATTATAGGGAAAGATACAAGTTTGCCTCAATTTATTTACTTTTAGTTGTGAATAATTATAATATTTGCATAAATTTGTTACATTATCTATGATTATTCAAATTCTTTCTAACAATTATAGTTAATATACTGTAGAATCTGAGATTTCAGTTGTCTTATGCAGTACTAGTATGCTATCGATAATGAGATGACTTTAGCCTAATATTTTTCACTCAATACTGTATTAAGTGTTTTTAAATCTGCGCTCCCGATGCGACTCATATTTGGCTAATTCATAGGAGTTGTGGCACTGATTAATGATATAAATCTGATAATTTGTGGCCACATCGGTAAGAAAAATGTTGCAGATAGCATGCACAATTTAGTAAAAATCATTAAATCTTCATTCAATCTCTTTAGTTATTATTTACAAATTTATGGCACTTATACTATGTATGGTTAAATTTAATGATAGCTATATTAAAAACAAACAGGTCAACCCTCATCTCTTTTAACAAAATTCAGATTATTTTAATTAATTATCATATTATGTATTAAATGAATTAATAGATGACTGAATTTGTGATTGAAATGCATGTCATGTCATACTTTTGTATAATTATTTGTTGTCTTAATTACAATTAATTACTATCAATATTTTAGATAATATTAACTATAATTTTATTTAATTAACCAATTATAAGAGCATTATAATTTATTACTAAACGTTATGATACTAATAAATTCACGAAACAATTCAAATATTTATATTTTATTCATTGAATATAATACCGAACATAAAAATAAATGTAAATAAATTATATATAAAATATAAAATCGTCACAAATCCAAAACAATTAATTTTATATATTTTAAGATCAATTAAATAAATAATTAATTAAAATAATTATTGGCTTTTTGTTATTGAAGTAATTGATCCCAATTTGAATCCGACGGCGCCTTTAGCTATGAGATAACCCTCTTTGGTGGCGATCACCTCTTCCCCCGCTTTCCCGCCTTCGATGACAACCACAATGTCGTCTTCACTCGACTTCTTCTCCTCAACTGATTTCACGTCTGTTTTCAAACAAATCATACATTTCTTAATCAAGTTATTCATTAACAGGTTTTCCACTCATATTAGCCATACATTTGTCATATAAAGGTTGAGTTAATTGTTTCAATCTCTGGCTCTCATCCACTTGTCTTTGGATACCATTCCTCTCGGCAGTGATGTCGAGGACAGCGCCGGCACCCAAACCATAGGCATTGGTAACAGTGACTGAACTCTTGCCTCTTCTCACGGACACAATGGTTGCGCCAATACTTCCGATGCCCTCCAATACCACCACTTCTTCATTACTTTGCACTTCATTTTGACGTCTTTTCGAGGCATCAGTTTTCACGAGAAATGCATTCAAAGTGTGATTTCCACTCAACTCTAAACCAATCCTATAGTCAACACATATATGAGAATTGAATTCACGATTCATATGATTATTATTGAAATACTCTTACGATTGCATCAATTGGTTGGCGATTGTCTCCAAATGATCGTTGGATTGAGTGATGGGTTGGGCGGACATCACAACCACGACAGACATCATTGCGATCAATGTTTTCATCATTTTTATGGAGTTTTAAGATTTTTTCAATTCTTTCAATTAATTCAATACAGAATCGACTGTTTGTTTGATTGACTTTTGAAACGAATTTCTGTTCTTTATATACAAAACAAAAGTCTAATAAAAGAGATAACAATTG